ACTTTTATGTTTATCATTTTCTTCATCTACATATTCCCCTTATCTCACCCTTGCCCTTATTTTAATTTTTGAATTTACCTTTACGCATCTTTGCTTTTGTTATTATTTTTACGTTTGCCTTTATACTCTTCTTTATTGATGTATGTACTCACCTTTACTTTCACTCTTGTATTGGTCTTTTTCTAAGTGCGTTATTCTTGAACCTTTTATTAGCAAGTTTTTGTTGCATTAATACCATATTTATGCTAAAGTAACCAATTTAAAGATCATCGGAAAAATATGAGTCCAATTGTAACGGTTAAATTATGCTCTTTAATAAAGTCCCTGCTTATACCTGAATTTTTTAAACTGCATGCTTGTTCAACTCGAATTTAACCTAAGCACCGTAATGTTTATGGTCTTCGTAATAAAAATCATAAATTACCCGTTAGAATTTATATTTTTCCGATAAAATTTAACCGTTATTTTATGCCTTTTATTTTTTCGATCAAGAATAATTGGCATCATTGGATTTTGACTTTTTCGAACAACTTTTGGCTGTTATTTTTGGTTTTAATATTTAAGGTCGTCGAAAAAAAATTATGTAATAGTTACTGATGCAATGATTTTCCAGTTCTAAACTTAAAGTGTATGTTCACACCTGCTTTGTTGTGCGATTATCTGGTAATGTGTTATTTTTTCAGGTAAACCTATAACTAATCAGGAAGATGAGAATACCTACAATAATTACAAAAAAAAAATTATATAAAGCCAATAGAAACGACAATTTAAAAATGTATATGTTTGTTTTATTAACTTTATTATGACTAACATTGTACTTGTACGCTAGAAAATTATGGTATACACTTTCAATATAAGAGTGTAAGGATTTTCGCAAACACAAAAGAATCGAAATAAAATGCAATCAAATTTAAAAAAAAAAAAAAAACATTACAGTTTGCAATACAAAACTCGATAATAATAAAAAAAAAAAAATTCCACGCTAGTGTGGAAGAGAAAAAACGTAAATGCATAAATGTGAGCAGCAACGCCAGTGTTGCATTAAAGTGTGACCGCAAAATATGTATGGGGGAGCGTGCACACCAGCTGAAAGTGGGTCCAGTGGGGAGGCAGTATTTATTTCACACGCCTTACCACGTCACGCGCTTCGAACTGCTACGGCTCCAACTATACAAAATATTTACTAAAAGTATAAGAATAATGCTGAAGGGGGACGATGGCCACTGGGTATGCTGTAGCGCCACCCTTATTTCCAGTAGAAAAGATGAGCGCTGCGCACGTCGAAGTGGTAGAAGCGCAGCAACATATAATCCTGCCACTTGGTGGGCAACAATCTGTGGCAAAAGAGGAAACACGAGAAATGAGAATGAGAAATGCTGGAAAGTGAATTAAAATAGAATAAAAGCAAAAATTGCAACGGCAACGCGCTGCACAATTGCAGCATAATTAAATAATAACTGTAAAGTGGCGCATTCTTACCATCGTTTGCGCAATTTTATTATTATTTTTATTTTTATTTTCTTTTCTGCTGTATGTGCAAGCTTCTTAATTGAATTTAATTATTTGCTACGCTGGCAACAATGGCCCACCTTTTAGCACTCACTCATTCACACACACACAAACACATTGAGAAACTCACCTGAGCAGCCATACAGTGAGTGCAAATATTTTCGGCACGTACACCATACGTTCGTTGTACAGCATACCGCGTACGATCTTTTCTGCGACATAGGGTGTCGGCAAGCCCGGATAACTGGCCATAATGCTGCGGAGGGCGGGTGAGCGAGGAAGGACACAACGAGTTGTTCGCACATGATTTGAGGTTAATCCAATTAGGCGAGCGCATGCAGCCGATTGGCGATTGTCGTAAAAATTACAATATAAAATAATTATTGAATCTATGTATGTATGTATGTTGTACTATTAATTTGTGGGTAGTATGTAAACGCAATGAAAGTGTAGTCCAATAATAGTTATGTAGCAGGAATTCACGCCAATTAATAGTATGTGCAGAGAGAGGGCGGCCCTCGAGTGCCAAGAAAGCCCCGGAATTTATCTTCGAGTATTTGCGTAACTATGTGTGCAAGCACTTTTGATTATTAAATTCCTCATCGATTATAAAGGAGGCATACTGAAATATGTACATCTTTATATAAACTTGTACGATACTTAAAAGTATTGTATGTACATTAGGGTGGTCCAAAAATGTATGGGAGAAAAGTAAAATCGGAAATTTAATGCTCTCACCCCCTAGGATTGTTCTATACCGAAAAAAATATACCCCTGTTTTTTTATTTTAAAATCAAAATATATTTAGAGGTCGCTCAAAGCGCTCAAAGTTTCCCATGTATTTTGTATGGGGAAAAAAAGACTTTTCGTAGAAATGGCATAGAATCCATGAAAATCTAAATTTTTCAATCTCAAAACTCTGCTTCTCTTCAGAGGACTTCAGAGAATAATGATCAATTGTTTATTTAAACGTTTTTTAATTTAAACAACTTTTTCTTTTTTTCTTTTGTATATTTCTGTTTGTATATTTGATTTTTTGGGATAGTTCGGAGACCCTTAAAAAATAGTTAAAATTAAAAAATGTTTAAATAAAGAATTGGGCATTATTCTCTGAAGTCTTCTGAAGAGAAGCAGAGTTTTCAGATTGAAAAATTTTGATTTCCATGGATTATATGCCATTTCTACGAAAAGTCTTTTTCCCCATACAAAATACATGGGAAACTTTGAGCGCTTTGAGCGACCTCTAAATATATTTTGATTTTAAAATAAAAACACAGGGGTATATTTTTTTCGGTATAGAACAATCCTAGGGGGTGAGAGCATTAAATTTCCGATTTTACTTTTTTTTGGACCACCCTAATGTACATATATGTTATGTTTTTGCCGACCGTCGCCATCTCTGCCGCACAGCATTAATTGGTTTTCATCATGCCACATATAATCTTACATAAACTTAGCCACAACCAGGTTTTCAGCATATTGATTGCATAAATTTATGTATATGTATATGTGTCTAGAGTGTTATATGCAAGTATGCACATAATTATAGCTGATAAGTATGTAAGTACACTCACCCCGCATCACTAAGAAGCGGCAAGTCGCCACTTGTCTTCATTAGATAGGCATTTGCCACTGTGGTTCGTATATAATCGCAATCAGATAGACGTAATTCGCCGCGCAACGCTTCCATAAAGCCCATAATGCCATATTTGGTGGCGGTGTAAATGCCAGCGCCGGGCAAAGGTACTAAACCTGTAATAATTAAATTTCGATTTGATTCAAAGAATGAAATGAGCAGCTAAATATGTGAAATTATGCGGCTTAATTATATTGTGTGTTGAGCGAGTAGAGAAATACAATATTATCTGTGTTGAATTATAATTCGGAAATACATGTCTGAAGAATAATAGGTTTCGGTGAATTATTCCGTTCCGGAACAAATGAAGGGTTGAACAAAGTACGATGAAATGCGCTTAGGTAATCGATACGTTTAGCCTCTCTTGGAAGGCGTGAAAATTTTTCGAGAAGATGAAAAATGACGCCTGGTAGCCCTTAATATTAAGATGTGTTGTGGGGCGATTTTTCGTCATGCCTTGTCAAATTTGGCTAGGAGACAAACCAGTTTCGGTATTGTGCCATCTTCAGTGTCATTTTTCGTTGTGCAGTTATATAGCCCATTTAATTTTGGTATAAAAAAATGCAAGTTTGAAGTGGTTATAAAGTACCGATGACAAAAGTCCTTCGGACGACAATTGTCAATACTGGCAGCTATCTCATTTCTGTCCTTAGAACGACAAAAGGAAAAATCTACTAACGAGGTTTCACGAAAGCAATTTAAATGAATAATTATTATTCAGATAGAAAAATCATTTCTCCCTTAAAATGGTTTCGTGAAATAAGTGTTTGTCTTTTAGCCATAAATGCCCTAAAAATTACATGAAATTGAAAAAATACATATATTTTCTTTTGAAAACAATAACAACTTATAATTAAAATTTAATAATATTTAAAAACATACATTAAGGGGGAAAAAAGGTTTATAAAAATTAGTTCATATTAAAAAATGTTTCCCTTAATGCAATAAAATCTAGAAATTAAAAGAAATTGAAATAAAAAATAAAATAATAATTAAAGAAAAAGAAAAATTTATAATAAGTTTCTATAAATTAAATAAGATATAATAGAAAATATGTTACTTTTTAAAATAATATAATCTAAAAACTAAAAGAAAAGTGCATTAAAAACATATAAATAAAAAAATAGAAAAAATTCAAAAGTTGCTATAAATTAATTGAATTAAGTTTTAATTGATTGAAATTCAAATTAAAGTAAGTTCCTAAAACTTAAATTAAATTAAAGAGAAATATTTTTCTTTTTGAAATAACATAATCTAAAAATAAAAGAAGAATAAAAAAATAAAAAAAATCCAATAAAAAAAATCGCTTTTAAATGATCAAATCTAAAAGAAACTTAAATTAAAAAAGAAAGAAAAATTTTAACACAACTAATGATATTTTAAAAAGCAAATTAGATTTAAAAAATATATTTTTTTTTTCTAAATAATAAAATCTTAAAAAAACAAAAATAAATAAGAAATAAAATAAGTTTCTAAAAATTAAAATTAAATTGTATGGTCTTGCTCACGCGGCCATTGCGAGTGTTGAAGCAGCGCGAGCAAAATGATATACATACATACATGAGCTTTTTGGCAAAGGGGCTTTTCACCATGGAAGTTGGCAAGGGAGATTTTTTTTGGTAAGACTTTCGTGCCAGTCTTGTCTCCTTTCTTACAATTGTTTTATAAAAAAAAGCGTTCAACCCTCTTAGCCAGAATTGTCCTGTTGACTTAGCTTATTGCTAAAAGACAACAGAATAATAAGACCTCCTCGTTAGCAGATCTGCCTTTTGAAAGAGAGGAAAGGGCGAACAATAATTCTCCCGAAAGTCTTCCAAACCTTACCATCATTGTTAGATATCGTCCTCGTTTCTGCGCCACATAAAAGGAGGTGCATATGTGGACCATTATTTTAATTCGTCGAGAGGGTGCCCTGATTTTCAATTGCCTAACGAGCTCTATTTAAGTAACACCAATTGACAATAGTTTTTCTGCGCTTGAGAAGATTATATGCGTATGGCCAGGAAGTACTTTGTCGTGTTTTCGTTCAACGCCAGACCAACCTATATATTGTAGTTTTCTGAGATTGATTGAGGCTTTGTAGAGACAGCTTCTCTCCGTGCTGATTTGTTTATCTAAATACAGTTTTTAAATACAGCGAAAATCGTTCATTGGTGGATATTCCAGGTGCAGATCCGTCGCACTGATTATTTCATGAAAGGCTTAGCTCGTTAACACTAAATTGCCATTGGACCTTACATACCATAATAAAAAGGTTTATCTCGNAGAGTCGACGGTATAAGATTTGTAAAATAGTATTTTGGTACTCTTTAACTCCTGGTACGAGGCCATTGTGGAACCAAAGGAAATAAGTTCGCGGCCGAACTGGCGACAGAAGGGTTATCTTATCGTCTGATTTCGTTGGTCGGGACTCATTTTTTAGATTGAATTCTCTTCGTTTTCCTTACTAAATAAATAGGTCGACTCAGAACGCATAAAGCATTTAGGAGTCGTAAGGAGTCTTAGACAGGCAGTGCCACTTCTTCTGCTATACTAAAATTCTAACTTACAACTACCACAGTAGGCACAGTGTCTGGCAGAATTAACTGCAAAACTGAACTGATTTTTCTTAAGTTCAAAGTCAATCGTTTCATCTTTGCTAAGCACTTCAATTTCAACGTAACTTCCGCTACTGGTTTCACACTCACCTGCCAAAGCTGATACTGCCACAACATGTCCTGATTTTCTAGCCACCATTTTCGGTAGAAATTCCTTAACGGTCTGTTAAATTAAATTTGTTTCTATTGTAGTTAAATTGTGTATCGTACGATTTCAATGAGATGAAACGCTTTGCCACTCACCATAATATATGAACCCAAATTAACAGTGAGTATGGTTTCAATTTCATCGTTGGTCAAATGTGGTGTCGAGGTCATCGGCATTAAGGATGCATTATTTACTAAAATCTCAACAGGACCCAATTCTTTTTCAACCTTCACCGCCATCAGTTGCAATTCACGGGGCGACGAGACATCGGTCTGTATAAGAAACAAAAAACAAAAAAAAAAATGTTGAATACATTTCCAATGAATGCTGCGGGGGAGTGAATTCCGCTTAAGCAAGGCTAATAGGAAAAGTAAATTAATTTCAATAAACTTGTAGTAAAATATTCCAACTGTTGGGGCATACTCTTATTTA